AATGAAAACACTGGCTACTGCCTGAAACAAGCGTGGTTCCTCTGTTTATTCCTAAATTGGAATTATTTAAACACATATCCTGTATGATAAGAGAAAATAAACAGTAAAGCTGCCAGTGCAATTAATTTCAAGAGTCATAGGGAGTTCTGTATATTACTGTTTTGTGTGGTTTTTTTTTTTTTTGGTACCGGGGATTGAACTCAGGACCTTGTGCTTGCGAGGCAGGCGCTGGAACCACTGAGCTAAATCCCCGGCCCTGTATGTTACTGTTTTGAGAAGCCTCTATAAAGAAAAAGAGGGCCGGCGATTTAGCTCAGTGGTTCCTCTGCCTGTCTTGCAAGCGCAAGGTCCCAAGTTCCATCCCTGGTACCAAAAAAAAAAAAAAACAAAGATAAGAAAAAGATTTTTTAAAAAATACGTGGCACTGAAATGTGAGGTCATTGGTGAATACTCAAATAAATCACAATTTTCCATTCGCTAAAAAACCCATTGTTTAAAGATTCAGTCATATTCCAATGAGTTGGGTGTATTTTAGCTCCCTTGTTACAGCTCCCCTGAGTGTTTAAATTACCAGCCAGGGCCTAAATACAGCTCAATGACCTACTAATAGCCTTTGCCATCAAAGGGAAACTTCACTGTGGGTTCACCAAGGTTTCTCTTGCCTGGACTGCACCCATTTGGCTTGACTGTGGCACCCCTGGCTACAACAGAAAAACTCAGGAAGACACACTCAGCATTTTAATCATACTTTTTTCAACCTTTGAAGCCAGGGTGGGGGAGGGGAAATCCACTTCCTGCTGGCTTTAAAGTTTGAGAACAGAAGGTTCAACCAACTGCACTTGCTGCTCTGCCTCTCTCGGTGGCCTTCCAAGTGCATCTTTGCATAGGTCCATCATTTCTTCTTTAGCTTCCCCTCCCTTCAGAGTTTTTCTGGGTCTCACATCCGGAAGGTACTTGCCTTTGCCTCAGACCCCACTGTATCTTGTCCCCCCTGTGCCAGGTGCAGAGCCCTGGGTTGACCACCAAAAGTTACTTCATCATTGCTAAAAGTTGGTGCTGGCACTTAGCACTTCAGCCAGGAGAGGTGATGTTTCTGGATAATTCACAGTGGATCCCTGATTCTGGGGCTGGGTTACTTTCCAGTTCATAGTCACAGCCTTCCTCCAGGACCACCCCAGAAAGGTTCTGTAACCTTTTCAGTGGTGGTGTGTTCTTGTGGGATCTTCTCCCAGCACAACTGGAACCACCCTCTGGGCGATGTTAACTTCTAGGCTTATCTGTTAAACCAGGTTTAGCTTTCTTAACCTTCCTGTTTTCACTTCAAATCAGTGAAACACACTGCCAAAGAAAACGGAAATGACTGACAGTGTTGAAGACAATAGGGCCATTAAGTTGCTTTGTTATAAGGGAGCTGCCTAGGGGTAAGGGTAAAATAATCCTTGAAATAGAGCAGTGTGGAAGCACTAGCATTCCCTTACCGTGACTCTAAAACAAAAAATAATAGGAAATAGTTAGTTTGCTAATAAACCACACCCCTAAATAGCCTGGAAATATAAACAACATAAACATTATCAATAATTTCCAGATAATTTTCAATCTGGAAAATTAAGTGGCAGTGACAGGGGATGCTGATTACACTGCACTAGTCAGTAACAGTTTCAATCCTATTTAGTTTGAAACAACTCTCAGGTTAAAAAATGGACCAAGTCAAAATATAACAAAAACAGACAAAATATGTGCTTCGGGAGTAGAGGGTAAAACTAGCAGGGCAGCCACTGGCCAGGATGGGCAACCCCAGAGAGTGTCTGGGCAGACCTACACTCTGTTGTCCCAGCCACTGTGGGAGGAATTCAGAGTAAAATCTCAGTCCACGTGAGTCGTTCAAGCCCACTGTCAGCCAGCACCCAAATTAAATGGTCATTCTATTTCCTCAGCAGAATAGAATGAAATAACATGTCTCCCATTTTATGATACTCAACTAAAATATAGCCCAACTAAAAATTTCCTAAATTTTTGAGCTCACTTGAGAACAAATGAATGCACATCAAACCAGTATTAATAAAACTGGGCATTATTATGTTCAATTTTTATGTTTTTATGTATCAGTTTTAAAAAAATAAAACTGGTAAACAGCCAAGCTGGCCTAGTTGGCTTTTGTTTTTTCCCTTACATTGAGCTATTTTGAGATAAAATTTTAGTTGGTATACATGATTGCTTTTGTGAGTGAAGTTGCTCCCAACTCCAATAAAGGAACTAAGCTGGTATTCAGACAGGCTGCCTACAGATTTTTGTCACCCACACAGTGGGTATGGGGAGGTTTGAGAGGGCATAGGAGTGAGAGGTAACTGGAGCTTACTTAGACCTGCAATTTAGGCAGCCATTTGGTCCCCACAGGGACTATCTGCCAAGTGAGTGCCCGAAAGGAGCACTGGGGCTCTCCTGCCAACTCATACTCTGCCTTCCACGGGCTTTCACATTCCTGGGTTAGGGTGTCTAGTCAGTGTGGTCGGAGGTGCAGCCAGTATCTCACCCTGTGGAGTGAGGCAATATGTTTGTCCCACCCTGTTCGAGCCTTTTCATGCCCCTGAACAAGAGCAGGTTTGGGCAGGTATAGGACACTAGATCTCATAAGCAGGTCCTCCCCTTGGCTTCTAGGACCTTTGCAGATTGCCATACCTAAAATCAAGACATGGATATTTTCTGAGCTCAAAACATTTGCTTTTCCTCTTTCTTGAGAAATAAAAAGATAAATTTTCAAAGGAATTCTGTAACGCAAAGGATTTTGATATTCTTTGGGGAAGTGTTTATTTTCTGCTAACCATCTCCTATTTATAAAAAGGTCTTTATTGTCATTATTTTAATTGCACATATTTATGGAGTATGGTGTGATAATTCGATGTATGTATACACTGTGTAATGATTAAATGATGGTACTAAACACGTAATACTTGTATACATTCATGGAGTACAGTGTGATATTTCAATACATATATACTGATCAATTCAGGGTAATAACACTTTCATCTCCTTGCAATTTCTAGTAACAGTGGGGAAGAGGAAGGTAGCAGAAAGACAACAAAGTATCAATTTGAGGAATCTGAAAAAATGTATTGTTTTTTTTATTACATCCATATTGGTGATATTTTTTACTGCAACAAGAGATTTCTACTTTATACAGGCATGGTAGTGCATTCCTGTAATCCCAGCACAGGAAGCTGAGGTAGGCGGATCACCAGGAGTTTGAGGCTAGCCTGGGCTACATAGTGAGCCTTAACTACATAGTGAGACCCTGTCTCTAAATAAAAATAAAATCTGTGTATTTAACATACACCAGCCCTTGGAGGGTCACAAGGAAGTCCTATTTTTAAAATATGTTGATTTTAGTATTTTTGGCTTACCATTCCTGTAATCTGTCTGGGGCAGTCAAGAGCCCTTTTGGATCAAATCTGGTCTTAGTCATGGGAAAAGTGACCTCGAAGCTCTGAGACATTCTTTCATAATGTCCACCTTATCTGTGTGGAATGACTTCTGTAATTAGCCTCTCAGTTCCCTCCTGGGGCTGCTCCAAACTTTCCTCACTTCATCATCTTTAATAAAGAACTCAGGGTCCCCACCCTAGATGCATTCCTCGCAACTTACAAAGGTCCCTGTGATGTTCTATGGCAGGGCAGAACCACATGCTTCAGACCTGCAGTTAGCAGCCCTTGGGATACCATGCTCTAAGGATGTTAAACAACAGCAGTCTCTGGAAGCACCTGCCGGATCTGGGGTGGTTTTTTGTTTTGTTCTGTTCTGTTTTGTTTGGCAGTACTGGGGATGGAAACTTGTGCAAGCCTGGCAACACTCTATCCCAGACTCTACCTGACAGCTACATCTCAGCTCTAGACTTGAGGCTTACTGGCCTAGAGACTAGCCTGTGTCTTCCAGGTGCCTTTAAATCCTCTTGTCTTAAGGTAATGCTTCACAGAAGTGGCTTTGATACCATAAGCAAAAATGTGTTTACCTCAGTGGGTATTTTCAGAATGTGACTCTACAAGAAAGTCCTTGCTGCTCCTTTCTATTTCAGAGGTGAAAGGGGTAGTCTTCTGGCTCCAAACATAGTTTGTGATAAAGTCAAATGTGGTGGTCTTTCACAGCCTCTTTCACAGCCTCTTCTGAATATAAAAACATTCACCATCAGCCAATGCTCTTATTTATTCTCAGCATCCAGTAGGATGGTCTTTAATATAAACAAGGCCAGCTGCAGAAAACGTCAGCCCTGGCCACTGGCATGGTGCCCTGGGGAATGGCGAGGGGCGGGGGGGGGGGCAGGAAGCAAAGCTGAAGAATTCTAATTCTCATGAAGACATCATTGAGCTCTGCAACATTTTTCCAATTGAAATGGCTTCCTGTTCAGCTCCCAAACAGTTCTCCACTTCCCAGTGTTCTTGAACTTGGGCCAGGGCTGCTTCTTAGTCCCTACTGTTCTTATTCTATACTACACTTGAGCAGAAACATTTCTTTCAGTAGAGCAAGTTCCTTCAGTTCCATTCTGGAGCAAGAGGATGGGGAAGCAGGAGACCCCAGGGAGGGAGGGAGGGAGACGGAGTTGTTTATTAGTCACCTTGTTTGGCTGGAATGTCAGACACAAAAAAGCAAGGCCAGCTTAGTTTCTTTAGTTTACTCTTTTTTGGACTTTCTCATGCTAAGAGGCATATTGAAGAATTTTAGCTGTTTGTAAATATTTTTAAAAGCATCACACCCAAGCCTTTATGTTACATTTGTATTCACAGAAAGAAACTCTCAGCCCCAGATTGAAAAAAAAAAGAAAGAAAGAAGAGAAAACTCCGAGAAAACCTTCTCAATTCTGTCCCTGAAACTTCAAGGGGCTAGGGGTGTGGTAGAGCACTTGCAAGGCCCTGGGTGCCATTCCCAGCGCACGGTTGGGGGGACTGCATATGGGCACTTCCACACCAACCCCAGTGAGATCACAGAAAGGATTCTCAGGAGCACAGAGAAAATGTATAAAAAGTTATTTTATTTAAAACCAGCCAAATTTCCTCAGTGCTAATGTCCCCAAGTCACTGATGTTCAAGTCAATCATCCTTGTGCAATAATCCAGTGCAACAGTTCTGAACAAGGCCATCCTGAGCAAGAAATTTGCCAAAACCTGGTGTCATGTGGAAATGTGGTTTTACAAGGGGATACCAATTTTGTAGCAAAATGTACGTATATTCAAAATGTCCTTCAAAATGTCACAAAAATGACACCCTCCAAATAGATGTGGACTGCGGAAGGGCTAAGAAGTTCGTTTCATTTTGGCACCCTAGTTACTACAACCCAAGGTGTGAGGCAATCATTCACGTTGAAATGAACTATAAGGTCAGAGAGAGCCAGGGTGCACACAAAAAGGATCTCTCATCCATCAGACTAGCCAAGATGAGAAAACCAAGAAAAATCCAGGTTGCTGAAAGTCTGAGAAACAGACACTTGAAGAAACCACTGGTGGGCGTGAAAGTTGGAATGATTTTGAAGAATTTTACCTCTTAAAATGTAAAGAGCATACACCTTTTGGTACATAAGGCCACTTTACTATAGTAAATTTCTGACAGATATACTCACGCATATGCAAAGATAGCATAAATTTGTTACTCAAAATGCAGTGAAATACAGCAAAACCCTTCAGCGATCTAAATGTCCTAAAGTCTGGAGGTAAGAACTATGTAGATGCGTAATAATACATTTCTACAATGAAATACAGTATAGCCACTAAAAAATGAGATGATACAGGAAGATTTCAAAAGCCTTAAGTTAAAAAAAGGACAATATTCACTTATGTATATAAAAAGCAATATATTTCAGTTTGAATTTGCATAAAAGTTTCTAGACACACACCACAAGAAATGTAGTGGTCACTTGTAGGAACTGAGACTGGCAGTTTTATACCTTTCTACACTGTTTAACTCTTTTTACCACCTGCTTACATTATTTCTACAAATTTTAAAGACACTACTTTAAAAATAAAAAGAACCTGATTTTAATCCTCTTGTTGTGTAATCCTTAACAACTTACCTAACCTCTGAGCTTCTTTCATCATCCTTAAAATGTGGTTTCTAGGGCCGGGGATTTAGCTCAGTGGTACTGCGTCTGTCTGCCTCGAAAGCGCAAGGTCCTGAATTCTATCCCTGGTACCAGGGGGGAAAAAATGTGGATTCTATCTACCACACAGAGCTGAGGACTGAAATATTATGCATCAATTGAATGCAAAATATAGGTGCTCAATAAATGTCACCTCCCATTAGCACCAAGAAACCTTAGAAATCTTCCTATTCATTCTCCTTTTTGTTTTTATGGATTTCGTTTGACTGTTTTTGCAGTATTGGGAATGGAACCCAGGGCCTCATACATGTTAGGCAAGCACTCGAAGACTGGGCCAAACTCTTAGTCCCCAACCACTTATACTTACTCAAGGAGTGACCAGAAGACCCACACCCCGAGGCCTGGGTTCCTGTGTCCTAATATAAAAACTGACTCCGTAGGAACCAAGAAATAACCAGTACTTTCAGTCGACACCTCACCTTGGAGTACCAGCCTCCTCCCCTGCCTCAGTCTCCAGATTTGATGAGTCTTGACTTCCTAAGCACCAAAGTCCACCATCAACTGAAGAGTCCTGCCAGGAAAGGCAGGCCCAAGGGGGAGTGTTGAGGATGTCTGGATCAAAGGCAGCACTAACCTCACAAGGGGCAATAATGATTTGGACATGGATGTGATTTAGAAAACTGTTCACACCCTCCTGCAGCTCCATCACTCAGACAGCTATCTATGTGCACGCGTGTGTGCACATACAGACAGACAAGAGACAGACACACACACACAGCAACAGCAGCAGCAGCCTAACTTCTAGCTCTCTAGCTCAAACACAGAACCCAGGTTGATTTGCTATTGAGAGTGTGAGCAAATTTTGTTGAATGAGAAATTCTATATAGGGCAATGTTTCCTAATGTCTGTTCTTTAGCAGTCTTTAAGGCACAGACTGTATTTTTCAGCAATATTTATACATAAACCTGCACCTTTGATTAAGATGAAATATTTTCAAAGTGGGTTATTAGGGATTTGGTGGTGGCTGGTCATTTTGTTTTCTGTTTGGACAATTTTCTTAGAAAGAAAGTTTCTTGATTGTTGGGGCACAAGTTACAGGGTACTTGCCTCTTTTCCTCATTTCTTTCAAAGGGTGCACAGATCTTGTCAAGAAAAACACCAAAGTATCCTGGGCTGTGGCTCAGTGGTACAGTGCATACATGAGGCCCTTGTTTCTATCTCCAGCACCAAAATAAATAAAACGCCTATAGGGATGAAATTTTGAGTCCTATCAAGGGTGGAATTCAAAAGAAGACATTCTGAAAAGGACAGGACAGCACATCAGTCTGTTTAGAACAGCAGGGAATGATCCTGTACATACAATGACATACCCTTATATAAGGAGCCACAGACAAAGCATTTAACATCTTGTGACAAGGTGACAAAGGAACCTGAGTATAATTTTCCTTTCCACAGTAATGCCCTAAATCTGCTTGGCACTTCATAATTTCAAGTTCTTTTCACATAAATAATGGTGGTAGATGGTTTTCTGCTCATCAACAGCCCTTGATTCCCCATGCTGATCTTGCTCCAGTGCCACTGCTTGGCCCAGGGGATGAATCACTGATTGGTCCAAGCTAGTGGTTTTCAGCTTTGGCTGTACAACTGGAATCACCCTACCTCACTCCAGACAATTAAATCAGAATTTTCTGGACTGTGAGTGTAGCTCAGTGGTAGAGCACTTGCCTAGCATATGCAAGGCCCTGGGTTCCATCCCCAGCATTACACAAAAAGAAAAAAAATAAAAAGCTCCAGGGGTGGAGCACAGGTACTACCATGTTTTAAAAGAATGCTCCTAAGGTGAATGTACACCAATAGTTCCCCTATTACCCATGGGTTTACTTTCTGAGGTTTTAGTTATCCAGCCAAAAACAGTCCAAATATATTGACAGAAAACTGCAGAAATAATTGCTAAGTTTTATATTGCTGTTCTGATGAAATTTCATGCAGTCCTGCTTCATCCTTCCTGGCTTATAAATCATCCCTTCACCCAGTGTATCCACACTGTACATACTACCTGCTCTCTGGCAGCTGAAAGATTATATTCATGTAATTCTATTATAATATATTGTTTTAATTTCCTATTTTATTATGATTCATCTTTTACAGTGCCTAATTTATAAATTAAACTTTATCATAGGTGTGTGTGTATAAAAAACAATATAATAGGGTTTAGTACTATCTGTGGTTTCAGGGATCCACGGGGGCTCTGAGAACATATTCCCCAGGATAAGGACCGGGTTAGGGTAGGAGAGACACTGCTGTAATTTTCAAGGGCTGAGATCTACTGGTCTAAGCCAATCAGGATGCTCCCATTTCCTTTTTGCCAATTATTGGGCTAGGGCAGGCCATGAGACTCAGTTCTAGCCAGTGAGACATAAAAGGAAGTCAGCTGGGGTAGAGGTTTCTGGGAAAGGTTTTCATAAGGAGATTAAAGGAAAAAGCATTGCATAAGAGGATACCTCTCCACCCCTTACCCACTAACCACCTTTCTTCCTTTCTGCATTTTAACAACCCTGTGTAAAAGTCTTGATGCAGATGTGATGCTTAGAGCTGTGGCTACTATCTTCTGACAATGGGGACATGAGCTACTAGTAAAAGGCAAGAAGATGTAAAAGAAAGAGCCTGGGTCCTTGATAACTTGGTTTAGGATTCTGCACACCCTGGTCAGTCCTGAGAAAAGCTCACCTACTCCTTCCCTGATAAATTCTGGCTATCAGGTATGGATCATTCAGCAGTTACTCAGGTTAATTCACATGCAACCTCTCATCAATGCTGAGCCAAGGACATGCATGCTCAGGTGTTCTGCAGGGAAGATGGCTGTAGGTACTGTCAGTAGCTCAGGGATATTTTATTTGTTCATAGTTGGGAACTGTGGTGGCTAATTAATTAATTTTCAACTTGAGTGGGAATGCCCAGCTGAAATGAGTCAGCATGGTTCAGGCGTGAAATACCCATTTAAGGATTGTTGTTAGAACAGTATAAAAGGAGAAGGGGGTGATTTCAGTTGATTTTCCTTGGAAGAGCTTTAGGTGTTCTCTTCAGAGGAGCTCCATTCCTCGCCTTCGCCAAGGGTGGCTGTTGTTTTCTTTGGAGGAGCTCCAGTCCTCGCCTTGAGCATTGTCTTCTGACTTTTGGCACTGCTTCTTCAGCTTTCAGCACCACCTTTTTGGCTGGCCAGCACAGACTCTCTAGCCTCCAGTACTGGCCCTCAGGCTTTCCAGCACAAAACCTTCAGTCTTCTATTGCAGATTCCTCGGCCTCCTGACATGAACTCGTATGGGACACTGCCATGGGCTCTAGACCTTCTGCTGGACTCTCCAGATCTCTAGCTTGCAGACAGATCTCTTGCACTCTTCTACATTTGACTCTGTGGGTGGATATAGCTAACCTTGTAAATTTTCTGTGTCCTGCATTAAGTATGTTTCTCTTGCAAATACTGACTACAACAGGAACATATTAGTAATGAAACTAAGTGTGTTTTGCACCCCAAACTAACCTGTAAGGCCAGCTGGGGTACCAAAGTTGCTGCCAGGGGATGCAAGGGGGGCCAGGCAGCGCAAGTACAATGGAGAGATTATGGGCTCTGGAACCTAACACTGAGCACTGTTCCACCCTCACTAGCCCAGGGAGACTTTAGGCAAGTTACTTTTCTGAGTCTCAGGTTTCTCATATGTAAATTGGTATAAATACTCATATAGGTACAATGCTTAATGTAATGCATGGCATAAAGTCCTATAAGGATCTATTCTCTTCTTTTCCTTTCTCTTTCCTAGAGTGTGATAAACGTTTGGAAAACTTATTAGTGGATCAGTAAAATAATCTTCCTAGGAACCAGGAATACAAACATTTTAATAACTACTAGTTAGTAGGAAGAGCCCAATATGGGAGGAAGGGCTCAATCACCAGTTTGGAAGAGCTTAAAACTTGCACCCAGATGTCCCTACAAAGGAAGCCCCACTGGACTTCTAAACAGTGGCATCGGTGTCTTCCCACATAGTCACTGTCAGGAGCAAAGACTTGCACTTCCTAGAGGGCAGAATCCATGTCCTCTACCCTTCTCTCCATTCTCTTTATTACCTCATCCCAGCCAGCATTCAATACATGTTAGTAAAAATGTTGGGGGGCAAAAAAAGATTTTGGGAGATTGTCATAAAACCATAAAATGTTGCAGCATTTGCCTTGGGGTGGAGCTCCTGCGGCCTGTGAAAGCGGATTAGGGACCATTATGTTCCATCTGTAAATACAGACTTAGCAGATGAAAGGATGTTTTTGTTACTATGTGACACTTTACTCTGTGCTTTACTTTCTTCCACTCTGGAAATCAGGAAAGAACACAGACTTCCTAGCAATTACAGAAAATGATCAACAAAACCACTTGATTACTGGGAGAAAAATCAGCCAGCTTCCAAAATCACTCTGAAACCCAAGCTCTATTAACAACAAAATCCGTCTTCATTAACATCTTCAACCTTTGTCCCAGAACACATCCCAGGGGTATGCTGAATTACACTACAAAATAATGAATGGAAATTTAAGTCAGTTCTGCCCACCCAGCACTGCTTTTCCTCCTCTGGTCTGCACAGTGCAGAAAGGGGCACCCTTCCAACTTACACAAAGTTCAGGGAAATGCATTGCCATGCTGGTAACAGGACTCCTGTGGTCATCTTTATGCAGAACAAACTCTTCCCTCAGCCCAACGTTAGATGCCACTTTAGCATCTTCAGATATATACTACAGAGAAAGAGCAAAAAAGAGGGAGTGACTTTTTATAAACTGCTACTGCCCATCTAAGGTCCCATCACTCAAATGGATGGAGTAGAGTAGGGGAAACAGCCCTGAAGTCTTGCTGGTACTAATGGAAGTTGACCATGAAGCCTTTGTCACCTGATGCAAAAGGGATATGGTCAAATATCCTACAAACACCAGCCCCTGGGAGAGGGGTAGGGAAAGAGAGGGAAGGACAGGGGCACACATGAGCTAGGGGACAGCAAACTTTATTCTACCTCATTATACCAGGGCTCAAGACACATAAATGTACAAAAACTATTCCAAGAGCTGCCTGACTATGCCTGCATGCTTGGTACTCTGGAGGAAAGCCCTGTAGCCTTGGCATAAGAGAGACAGAAAACAATATGAAACAGGAAGATAAGGAATAGGTTGGGTTAAGGTGTTGATACCTTCCACCTAACCTTGCTCTTGGTTTTCTCTGCCAAACAAACAACATGATAAAAAGTTGCCCCATAGGACAAACTGGCATGAAGATAGCTTCATAACCATCAACCTCAAAGAGTTCCCCTAAATCCTATTCTCTTCACAGCAAAACTTTCATTTTGACTATTTCAGACTTTCTCTACTGTCCTCTGATCTTCGATACTTCCCACTTCATAAAAGGGACTAGGAGCGGGGAGACCTGGGCTCTCTCTGCCTCAACTACAAGCTATACTTAAACATCCTCTCTTGTCTCAGAGTCCTTCTCTGAGGAGGTAGGTGTCTAAGGGGGTGAACCCGGTAAATCAGGACCTGATCTGATAGCCTAGGATTCCAGAGCTCACTGTCCCCCCTCCACATCCCTCCGTGGGCCATTTCAGGCTCCCAGAAGACCTTTCCTATACTCTGCCCTGCCTGGGGGCACCTTACCGGATTCACCTGAGAGCAGGCCTTGAGGGGTTACAGGGTGCCTTCGACCTCCGTCTCCTGTGGCGTCTCCCTTCTCATGGGCGGCTCCGCGTCGCCCTCCTCTCCGCTGCGAGGGTAGGCCAGGAGACGCATGGCTGGAGCGCAGGCGGCCTCCACCTGGCGCACCTGCTCTCGGCTCAGGCGCTCGCGCCAGGCGTGCACAGCCTCCCGGGCGTCGCGTGAGGACAGGTGGAAGGGCCGGTCCGCGCCGTAGGCCGCGCCGCGCGTCATGTTGAGCGCGAAGGCGTCCAGCGCGGCGAGCGCGCGCAGCCCGGAAAAACGCAGCACCCGGCGCAGCTGGGTGCGCGGCTGCCGCACCAGGTCCTCGTAGCGCAGCCTCAGGTAGCGGCGCCGCAGCCAGGTAGGAGCACCGCGCGCAAAAATCAGGTCACGCAGCCAAGCCTCGCAGATGACTTCTAGGGCGCCGGTCAGGAAGAAATCGGCCCGGGGGGCGGCGGGCAGTGCGCGGGACTGGCCCCCGGGGCGGACGCCCACGCCGTGAGCCAGCAGCACGCGATGGAAGCGGTCGCCCCTCTGGCGGGTGCGCAGCACCTGGATGCTCTCGCGCAGCAGCCCCTGCCTGGACTTCAGGCGCGAGTTGTGCACCGCTCTCGGGTCTCTGAAAAGCTGCACCACCTTCAGGTTGAGCCCGGGGTCACGCAGCAGGGGAACCAGCACGCCCAGGTCGAGCAGGCGCACATCCTTGATGACCACCACCGGGTACTTGCGGCACTCGTCCTCTAGTGCGCGTAGCGCCACGGGCGGGCAGCTGCGTTCACAGGCGGCGTCCTCGACGAGCCCTACCTCGGCGCGGGCACGGGGCGCGCCGGGGCACAGCGGTGGTGAGCAGATGACCTTGTTGGTCCGCCAGCGGAACAGGGCGGCCGTAGTGAGATTGGCTGCGTCCGGGGCTCGCGCGGCGGGATCCCCCGGCGGCGCGTACAGTCCCAGCACGGAGAAGTCGCAGCGGAAGAGAGAACGCAGCATATCTCGCAGCGCGCCCTGCAGGCTCTCGGCGTCTCCCGGGTACAGTGCCTGCCATAGATGCCACATGGGCTCGTACAAATAAAAAACGTCTGGGTGCTGGTTAAAGAGCTCACCCAGGAAGGACGAGCCCGTGCGCCAGGTGGCATGCACGTAGATGTGTTGCTTCTCGCGAGCCGGTGCCTCCCGGACGGCACTGAGGTTGCCTGGGGACTGGCCAGTGCTCCCTTCAGCGGCGGCCCGCGCCTCCGCGCCCCGCTCACGTTCTCCCGCCGCCGCCGCCTCCAGGCTCCACACTCCTAGGCTGCGCTGCAGGCCCGGGCAGTGTCCAACACCCTTGTCCCGGTCGCGACCGCCGTCCAGTACTGAGGGGACAAGCAGCAACATCAGTGTGTACAGCACCAACAATAGCGCGAACTTACAGTACTCTCGGCGCCGCCGCCGCCGGCCCTTCATCTTTCACGGACCCTCCAGAGCGGGCCGGGCGCCTGTCCTTTCCTCTAGCTCAGAAATTCCGTCCGGACTCCGCTCGTCCTGCCTCTCTGGGCCCCTCCGCCGGGAGGAGCGGAGCTGCCCGGGCTGTGCATCCACAAGGGTAAACTTGGGAAGGCAGTAGTGCTAGTAAGTGACGGCGCCCCTACCCTTTAGACTTAGCCTCTAGAGAGACGCCTATTGGCCGGCTTCGCGGCCGCCCGCCCCGCCTTCACCACAGTGCTTCTCCCCGCCTGTCTATCCTCCCAGTTCGCTCTTTGCTCTGCTAGATCTGGGCCGGCCTGCCGCCGGCTGGGGACAATGAGCCAGACCCCGCCTTTTCCCATCCTCTCCATAATAAAGTTAAGTCTTCATTATGGGAGGGGCTCGTGTGTACGGAACGACCGAGTGGCGGGATGTGGACCCCTCCCGGAGAACTCCACTGCCCCGTTTTACGTCTTCTGCCTGGCCATCTCTGCCCTAGGCAGATAACCACTCGCCAGAATCTACATCCAGCGCCCGCGTCAGCCCTAGAGTGGGTGTTACTGAGTTATTTTACTGAGAACTCAACTAAGATAAAAATACACAATTGTACATTGCTTGATGGTCTCAGGGGATTTGGAAGCACTATTGGATTCACACAGCACATTTAATAAACAAAATTAGCCTTCGTGAGAGTCTAAGTGATGTCTTCCTTAGGATTTTGCCAGCTGAGGTCCCTTCACGTTTCACAGACACTCTGAGGCTCGATTTGTAAAATGAGATTAGTTTTTAGTGCCTATATACCTCCTGGGGTTGTGAGATTGGGAGTTGTTGCCACAGTATAACCCACACCTCTAAATTGGTTCAAGTATTTTGCTTTCTCTCCATATTCCCTCCCTTTTATATCCTCTGTGTTCACCGACCTCATTGACTGCTGCCCTGTTTTATTCTCTATTTTTCATATGGGCATAAGATACACCAGACCATTATTTTAGAAACACTCCCTGTGATGGCTGATGGTGATTGTTAACTTGAGTAGATTAACAGACATTTAGCAGGTTAATAAGGCACATTGCTGGGGGCGTCTGTGGGAGTGTCCAGAGATTATTGGTATAAGGACCAGCAAACTGAGGGGGGGGAGACCCACCCTGATGTGGGTGACACCATCCCACAGGCTTGCAGGCCAGGTGGAATGAAAGGAAGAAAGGAAGAAGTTTGTCTGCATTGAAAAGCTCCATTCTGCCAGAGTAGGTGCTGGGGTTTTTTTGGTTTTTGTTTCTGTTTTTTTGCTACTGCCATTGCCTGTGGATCACAGACGCCAGCTCCTTCAGCGTTTCAAGGCAGATCCACACCCAAAACTCTCCAGGGAGTTTCTAGGCCTTCAGTCTTGGGCTGGCACTGCATTTTTTATTCCTCTTATTCTGTGGCTTCCAGCTTCTTGAACTGAGCAGCTACTGGATCATTTCATCATGCAGATGTCCATTGTGCACGTTCCTACATCGGATCCTAGAAGCCTATCTAATAAAACGTCTTGCATAAATATACTATCTATATATCTATACATCTGTATCTATGTTTTTATTTATATACAGTAAATATATTCTGGTCCTTTAGAGAACCCTAACCAATACAATCCTACCAATAAACTAAACTCTCTTGCCCTCTCTCTTTTCATTATTCATCTAACAAAATTCCCTAAACTCTGCTTTTAGCTTTCTCCATGCCTGCAAACAAAATTGCAAAGTTTCCCCACAGGTTCAACATACAAAAATCAATACATGTAATACACCACATAAACAGAAGCAAGGACAAAATCCACATGAAAATCTTAATAGATGAAGAAAAACCATTTGACAAAATCCAGCTTCCATTCATGATTAAAAAAAAATCCTGAAGGCAATAGCTATAAAAGGTCTTTACCTCAATCTGATAAAAGCCATCTATAACAAACCAATAGCCAAGTGGAGAGAAGCTGAAAGCCTTTACTCTAAAATCAGGAACAAGACAAGGATGTTGCTATCACCACTCCTGTTCAATATAGTTAGTTCTCAAAACATGAGCCAGAGCAATTAGTAGTGTAGCAGGATTGGAAGTAACACTCAAAAATCAGTAGGGTTCCTGTACAACAATAACAAACTCAAAGAGAGGGAAATTAGGGAAACAATACCTTTCACAATAGCATCCAGAAAAATGAAATACTGTACTTAGGAATTAACCTAACCAAGAAAAGTGAAAGATTTCTACAATGAAAATTATAATACTCTGAAAAAGGAGATTGAAGAGGATATAAAAAATGGAAAGAAATCTCCTGTTCCTAGATAGGTGCCATATTTCCAAAACTGTTGTACAGATTTAATGTAATCTCGATCCTAAAATTCATGTGGAACCAAAAAAGACCTTGAATAGCAAAAGCAATTCTGGACAACAAGGACAAGGCAGGGGGCATCACAGTCCCAAACTTCAAAGTTTTTTTTTTTTTTCCTTAAATTCTTTTATTGGTACATCTTAGGTATACAATACATTTACATTTCTCATTGGGAACTTGTACCTTTACATGATGTATCTTGGTTCTTATTTTTTCTCCATTCCCTGCCCTCCCTTCACCCCCTCCACCCCTCGCTATTTATAAAGACTTTGTTTCCTTTTTTTTCCATTTCTCATCATTTTTCCTTTCCCTTATTTCTTTCCCCTAACCCTCCCACTTCCCCTACCCCTTTGGATCTTTTCTTCCTATTTTGCATTATCAATTCATTTTAATCCTTGGTACATTTTAAGTATACAATATAATGACATTCATCATTGGAAATTTACACCTTTACATAATCTCTCTTGGTTCTTATTTTTCCGCATTCCCTTGCCCTCTTTTCAACCCCTCAATTCCTCCCTATTTACAAAGACTTTGTTTCCATTTTTTCATTTTCTCATAGTAATTCCATTCCCTTCTTTCCTTTACCCTACCCCTCCAACTTCCCCTTCCCTTTGCCCCTTTTCTGCCTATTTTACATTATCTATTATACCTTTTAGTCCTTATTTACACTTTCAGTTTCTCACACTAGAGAAACTATTTGGTATTTACAC